AAACCGATAAAAGTATTGAAGCATATGTTTGTATATTAATTACTTGTACTATAATATAATACTATATATTGACTTATGTATAACGTTGTTATGAATTTCATAGAAATAAATAAGTAATTATGTATATAAATTGAAAGTGACACATTTTTTAAACCATTTTTTATTCTCTCTATCAGTGATTTTACGAAATACACACATTTTGAAAGTAAATTTTGTTAATAGCGAATATAGTTCGTATTTTAATTAGTATTGATTTCGATTATGTTAAAAGTAATGTAAGTAAGATAAAATAAAGTTATGTGGCGGTTCTGATAAGTCAGGATATTAAGGAACTAAAAATGTAATAAAGGTGAAACTTTTAATTGTAATTTCTTATGATTTACTTATTTCCAGTTTATTGAATTAACGCTATTTTTATTACCCTTTATTACGTAACGTGTGAATTACGCAATGTATTTCTCACATTAAGTGCATAAGATCTTGAAAAAAATTTGATAAATGACCCCTAAAAGTAATTTTGGAAACATAATGTTCTTACTAGGAATTATTTAAATTGCGATTTAAATCTTTTTAAGTTCTGTTCAAATTCTTAGTCATATTGCTTATACAGTTTTTATTACGTTCGTTAGAATATTTCCTTAAAAAATATACAAGGGATGGTTAATGTGCAATCCAGTAAAAACAATTTCGACGATATACAATATAAAATATATTTTATTATTTTTTTTATAACAATTAACAATTCTGTTATAAGTAAAATTTTAACATCTTGAAAAAAGACAGTGGTTGTTTTAATTAAAAAATAATAGCAATGTCAAATATATACAGCGTAATTTATGTATACAATTATTAATAAATGTTACCTCATAGTAATTAACATAGCTCAATGTATTTAAATACAAATTCGTTTACTTGATAGTGATTTAAGTATAAAATACAAGAATACAAAAAGTAAGAATTCTTTTAAATGGCATTAATGCAATAAAAATTTTTTTTAGATAAATAACATTGCACTAAATTATAATTAACTACACATTTTTACATGTAGGGGAAAATGGTGGAAGATGGGATCCCTAAGAAAAACTTGCTGTATTGTTTTATATTTACTGATTTTGTGTCGGTAAAATATACTGTGTATAGTGTTAATAACTGTTTACACAAATATATTAAAATTGATTTATAAAATTTAATGGATAAAGCAGAAAAAAATAATTTTTAAAATAGGACAATACAAGGTAGTATGGGACACATCCATTTGCATATGTTACACACATATACGGTATTAATTGAAAACTCACTTTTAAAGGATCTAAAACTAGTCTTGAATACTTGTTGAGGATTTTCTCGATGAATAGCCATTGTTCTCTCCAATGTAGATTTGAGTACATTAAAATTTCTTATCGCTATACGATACTTCATTTCTTTTTTCTGTATACTCCAGCGGCTTTTTGCATTGATGTCTCGTTGCTTTTTTTATACGTTTGAATGAGTTTATTTAAAAATTAAGCGAGGTTATGGAAATCTCCTCATCTTGCTCCAAATGTTACATTGAAATTAATTAAATGATAATATCATTGTTTGTTTACGATTGAAGTTAATATACATAGAAATAAAAACCTTGAGAAGTTGCTTGTGTAAAAGTAATAAAGTAATAATATTATTGAGAATTGTTACTAAGCTGTTAATGTTTGAAACGTGTCAAAAAATAAAATCATAAGCGTAACTAGTGTTTCTTTTACTTTTAGTGACATGAATGCAAAATAACACGAAATAAATTGCCATTCAAAAGAATGTCCTATATTGTTCTGTGCCCCCATCTTGTCCCACTTTCCCCTAATCTGAAACTTAACTTACGTACAACATAATACTTCTTAAACATATATAATTAGAATTACGAAGTTCTTGTTATTTACAAGCACTTACTCAGTCCAAATATGACATTATATAAATAAGTACTCTTAGCTATCATATACATTGTATATGAGGGCAAGAAATGGGATTTAATTTTACTAAAAACAAAGTGAAGGTTTCAAGCATTATTTACAGTGTCTTAAATTGTTCGGTCAAGTTTGAAATATTTGGTAAAAGCATTATTGTTGTTTCAACGATTTCGTTGTCGCCGTTGATACAGGTTTCTTCAATAAATAAGTTTTAATATTTTGGAATGGTATATCAAAAAGTAGGGTAAGACCTATTGATAAGAAAGCAATCCATACCATTTCATTTAAATTTATCTGCAAAATACATTCATTACAGTAACCAGTTTAATTATCAGTTTGTTTACGTACAGTAATGTAAACTTACTTGCATGCTGAGGAAATCATAATGTGAAGAACTCCTGGTTGTCCCAACGTTATAAAAATATATTGGGAATTGTGTTAAATATGTTGCATAACTCAGTCTCGTGGTTATTAAAAATCCTTTCCATGCCAAAAATTTGCTAAATTGATCTAAAATTTAATGTAAATATATTACATATAATTAATACTTACGTTTTAAAAAAAATGTTTAATTATATACGAGAGACATCGCGTCGTAGATAGACAAGTTATCGAATGTATATTTGTCGTTGACACTTAATCGTTTACTATTAAAAGAGTAATTTTAAATATTAAATATATGAAATCTATTTAGTTTCACCTTTTTCAAATTAGTATTCAGTTTCCTTCACAACTATTTAATTATGTAAAATTATATTATATTACCAACACTATCTGTTTTGTCAGTAAAAAATTTATTACACAATGATTAGCTCTCCGATTACGCATGATTAAAGTCTTTTAAGTCTTTTCCTATATTTATGTAGCTACATTTATGTTGCACATGATTCGATACAGCAAAATTCTAAAGTCTAATATATAATATTATGCTTCGTATAATGCATCAATATGTGAAATATTGAAATGAAATAGCTTTGTTTTATAATTTACGTATGTTTCCTATTAATCAGTCTCAGAGAATGTCGCTAATATCTCGTCGGAAAATATTCAGGTATTTTTAATGAAAAACTTTCAAGTGCAAAGAGTTAGAACTTCTTTCTATCATTTAACTTAACCACCACGTCTATTGGTAAATCTTCAAACATTTATATTCGAATGTGGCGGTAAGTTCTAGCAATCTTAAACTCAGTCCTTGAACATTCCCTGCATCCCTCCCACCCACGCAGACTGTATGGTCTCTATTTATTGTTAGCTATTTAATCTAGCACTTGCTTTCAAAGGCTCAAGTGTATTCAAACGTTTCGAGTCTAACGTAAGTCAATACCCATTGCTCCTCGCGATTGAAGACAACCGAAGCCAAAGTAACTGAACTATTTCTAAATGCTAAATTCTAAATAATAAAGAGTGAAAACTAAACAGTCGATGAAATGTGAATGATAATAGGCAACCGCGAGTTATCATTTTTCGAGAGTTCTGTGCAAAGGCGCCTCATTATCAAGTTCCGATCTATTGCCTTGAGTAATATTTTTCTTTAAACGCGCGAATCGTCTCATTACGTTAAAACCTGTTTACTTTCGTGAATTTTGTAATTACAGTGTGTGCGGATTACTTTTTAATCTATCAACTCCTTCGGTGTACAGTTCGCACTACGTACGGGCAAGGTGAATTCTGCTAAAACGTTTTATCTGCGTGTCCCACGGACAAGATACAGCGGATTAGAACGTGTATTCTGTATGTCGTGTGGATACTCTCTCTTTTTAATGACAACGATAATCACCGTTTTTATTGAAAAGAAAATCTAGTAGAGCGGTATCAACACGCTCCTATCGACTGGTAAACAGGTTTAATGACGGCCACACTTTGTACTCATGTGAGTATTCTGAAAAATGCCCCGTGGAGCGCCAGATCGCAACTTCGAGGTAAACGGCTTTCTTTCACATTGCATGCTGGCAACCGCAATTCTACTGACCTGCCTCACGCATGTCGCTATTGACAGGTCGTTGCAGTTGCGGAAAGTATTGAATTGTTTATGACTAGAAAATGAAACTAAAATCACGATTTTATTACTTTCGATTGTTGCCTTCTCTTTAGACGCAGACTCTAGAATCTGCTAACTTTTCGTGGATGTCAATAAATTATTGTTTCAAAGTTTTGAATGTATTGTATAATTTGAATATAGCTTCTATCTTCACAGTAATAAATTTATCGGAGAATAGGTTAATTGCATGAATGTATCCATAAATCTAGTTAAACTTTGCACATAAAATTATTACATCTTGAATATTTTTTGCGTAACTGCATATGAATTTTTGTGTTTGCAAGACATTTGAAATTATTTATTTATAACGGCCAATATTGTAGATTTTGTTCAGTAGCATCGATTCTTATATTTTACGTAAAATTTCGCAAGAGAAAGATATTTAAAGTATGACAAACCATAAATTGTGTTGTCCTTGTTATTTGTTTAACTAGGTAGGCTGCTTACCGTTTGTATTTCCAGTTTGATGCAGTATAGTTGCCCAACCGAAAATAGCGCACCATCCAATAGGAGCGAATGCATTGTACATTGCAGCGTGTAATGGTTCATAGACGTAATCCATAGAGCCCATATGCGCAGGACCGAAGAAGGAACCGCAAAACATTATTAGACACAGGATCCAACCTCCATACCAAGTCACCTGAATGTATATATGTATATGAAAAAAGTTTACACGGAATGGTTTACAAATAATTTTGAATTAAACATTTTTAAATGAAATTTAAAGAAACATTTTATTACGTTGTAAAATTTCATTGATATGTGTGCATGTTGTTCGAGAGCTTTCTATTGTTTTTCACTTTACATATTTGCAATATTTATTTTTATATTAATTTTTATATTAAGAAATTAATATAAAAATATATATTAATTTCTTTAAACTTATTAAATTTATTCAAAATTGATTTATTTATTTAATATTTATTTATTCTTTTGTATATTATTCACTTACTTTACTCATCTTGTAATCTTTAGGTACATATCTTAATAAATAACCAACAAAAATGCCCATTATGTACACTGTTAGTCTATGTGATGGCAAGGTGTATGAGAAATCTGCAGTATCAAATAATTGTCTTATTCTGCAAATGGAAAATTACCATTAAATAAGTATCCAACGAAGAATTTCCGTATATTACAAATATAGATTTTTAAGAATCTAACTTACGATGTACCGAAGAAGACGTAATTACTTAGGTGCCTAAAATATGTTACAAAAAATCGCAGAGACGTTGAAAATAGAGCACACAAAGTGAGAATAACAGTTCCAGCCTTTGGTTTTTTGTAAAGTAGCAACACCATCAATGGTGAAAGGAAAAACAGTTGCGTGTCTATACCCAAATGATGTGTATGAGTTAAACACTGAAAGATCGAACAAGATATTCAATTTATAAAATAATTCCCTGCTATAGTTGATTTAATTATTCCTATAAAATTTTCTGTCTATGTACCATCGATTCGAATCCAAAATAGTTATGAATAAACAGGAAATTTTTCCACCAAGCTCTTTTACAGATATTCGCGTGTTCAGTTATAACCAAGTTCCATTGCGGACCAGAAGCAATATAAGGTAGGACATAAGTACAGAACAGCATTAATGCAGCCAGTGGTGGTATAATTCTAAAAATTGGCAAAAAGGTAAATGAAATTTGTAAAATCACTTCTTCTCTGTTGAAATTCTATTAATTTTATTATTATTTTTAAAAGTAGAAATAACATCTACAATACGTATAGCTATTTAATAAAGTAATATCAATAATTAGTAATTTTGTCATACCTGATTAAACGGGACAAGTACTCATCTTTGATATTCAACTTGCCAGTTCTTTTTAACTTGCCGAGGAATGAGTATGACGTTAAGAGCCCGGAAAGCATTATAAATGGATCCGTATAAAGACTCGCGGCTCTTCCTAAAACTGTCCATGGTTTACCAAGATACTGAAATAAAAACATAACGTGTATCTCCTTATTACAGTAATTAATCCTTTTGCTATAATGACAAATTTATTATCGGTAAAATGATATGCGTTAAATGCACTTGGATACTTTTAACAAATTATTGAATCTATCTTAATATTTCTATATTCTGTCAAATTCACTTCGACACTTCTAACAAACTAATCACAAAGTAGATGTTAAACAAAAACTTGCAAAGCCTATAATTTTGTTTTTATTTGAAAATTCTTGAAAGTTAAAAGTAGAAACGGTCGGTGAGTATATTATTTAGGTATTTATCGCCCATCACAGCGAAAAGGTCAAAGGAATCTTTTTTTAAAGTGAAATAATCATACCTCGCTCATTTCGGTTCTGTTTGAATATGGATTAAAGAACAGGGCCATACTTTTATGAGCCATGAGCAACATCAACGCATTTATAGCTCGAATGCCATGAAGCGTAGCAATATCATTCTTTTCACGCTCCAATGATATAAGCTTCATGCAGTTGCGTTTTAACGAAAATGATAAGAACAGCTCGCTAGCAGGTATATTATAGTGGTCGTAAAGTGCAGCAACGATCGTTAGTGCCAGTATAATTATAAAGAGTAAACTAAAAGAAATATAATCAACACGTTAACATTTATTTATAATACTTATGAAACCTTTAATGAACGAAAGCTTTGTTGGTGGTTACCTGGCGTATATAGTTTCCTTTGGAAGCTCCATCTCTTGCACTTGACACATTTCTTCATTCACTTTTACTGTTATATTGATATCCATCTGCGAAGTGTATCTCGTAAGGATATCGCGAATAGATGTTTCGACATCTTTAGAGCTACAGGTTGCCGGTGCACATATTCCCCAATTAATTACGTTAAATCTTGGTACTCGATGTCCTGGCTGTAGCAAAAATTTCAACTACATATAATGATAAGCGTGACAAAAGTATTAAAAAATGATTTAAGCAATCATAAAAAGTATTTTTCATTTTAATTTATTTGTATGTTTTGAATGAATATCATTTTGTCGGATTTAATTATTTTAGGAATTGATTTTGATGAAATGAATTCATACGTTAGCTTGTTCTACCATTTTTAAGTAATGTGTAACTCTCAGTATTCATTAATGTGTAAATTAATTAATGTGCAAATCAGTATTAATTAATATGTAAAATTAATTAAAATTACCAGAAACGATTTTAAATAATTTTCTTTGAATTTATTTTCATCCGAGGAATTTTATGAAATTATCATTGAAGAATTTATAGAATCATAATGAGAAAAAAGGAGATTTTTATGTCTTATTAGGAACATACAATGAATCTGTGCTCTTGAACTTGTGACAAGTTTTGAAATCTAATATTATGATTAAGACGCAGTGTCCTGTACGTGTAATACTTTTTCTCTTAATGTTAATGAAATACTAATTTCGTTCGATTCTAAGAATGAAATATATAGACTGATTATAATCAATGAATAATCAATAATTATTGATCCTAATTAATGTGAATTAACAAGTTAAATGAGAACTAATTTTTAAATTGTAGATTTATGTTCCACAATTGCTGGTATTCAAATAAATTTTTCATAAGGAGAACTCGTTTGCACATTGTTTAGGATGAAAAATATCTTTAAAATAATGACATAATCGTTGTTTAGGTATTTTTGTCACATTTCGGAATATGGGGCGAAATGACAATGAGGTACGTGTCAAAAGTAGCCGCGCGAATCACTTTCTCGCATTACGATACGTTCTCTAAAAGTATAATACGTATTGATTGCACAACTTGCATGATTTGTTGCGATGAAAACTCAACAAGGCTACTAAACAACTTTGCTATAAATTTGCGTAAGCCTTATCGTAATATATAACACAAGGTAAATTTCTTATGAAATTTATTGCGCTCAAATATGGTACATGTCATATTAGAAAGCGTAATCGATAGAAGAGTAGCGTATACATTGAGTTCACTATGATCAATATTGGCCAGGATTTTAATTTGTAAAATTTACATATGCTCTTTCGTATACTATGCAATCTACTAATATTGAAACAGGTATTTGCAACTTTTATTTATAACATTTGATTTAAACGTTACTTCAAAAAATTAAACATGAAGAGACAAAAATTATATATTTCTCTTCAAAAATTGTATTTCTGTTTTGTGTATTTTTTTCTGATACGTTTCGTCATAGTTAAAAAGACCGTAATTTAGTGAATGTGAAGAATTTTAATTGTAGATATATAATTTAAATACAAAATAATTATAATTATATATACATGTATATATATTTTTTGTTTTTATTTAAAATTTATTTAAAATTTATTTAAAATTTCTTGTTTCAACACGACGAATTCAAAATTTATTCGATTGCATCCTTCCTTATTGTTCATTTAGCATCATCATCATTTCCGCTGATAACTTCCGAATAATGACTATCCAGTCTTGCGACTAATGCATACGTTAGCTTCTGTTGGAAATTACAGTACTGGCGTCTCGAAAGAGGTTGCGGTTACGGGTTTCCTTCGCCGGTAAAGCGTTAAATATAAATACGTACTTACATCGGTAATGTTACTTCTGAATGCGTAGTGAGAGTGCATGAGGCGATGGATGTGCTTGAGATCCAACCGCGACTCGTCGATGCTAAGTTGTAGGTACGCTAAGCAGTATTGTCCTCGGATTCCTTCACTTCCTTGTATCCCGATGCATTCGTCGAAGTCACCAAACTGATTTACATTGCCATTTAGAAGGCCAGCCGGCATTTTCGCGGTTGCATCATACACTTAACGCAAAAGGAATGTACTTAAATTTTAACGAATAACTTATAGATCACTGGCTGATAGATCGTTAGCTCATAGAGCCGTTCAAATCAACCGAGTCGTTATCTTGGAAATGACTTAACTTTAAAAAACTGAAATTAACCCCTTGCACTATGATTTCTTTTGCAACTGTCCTCAATAGAGCTACTTTATCGTTCATAATTTATTAGAAAACGAACAAATTCTGTGCTCATCCTACGTTTATTCTGAAGCATTACAATTTATAATGGAGAAATATTATTCAATTTAGAGAAGTAAGTCACATTTGAAATCTTCGCCACGAGTCTAACAGGATATTGTAAGGCAAAGGGTTGATGATGATAATAGTTACGATCTTACATTACATTTTCATTTTTAAACGGGTTTTTTAATGGATTTAAGCCACTTTCAAAATAAACAGCTCAATTCAAAATAAATTAAAAAATTGATGGTTCAGATTTGTATTTTACAATGGCAAATCAAGTCCTTCGCAGGAATATTTCTTTCGTGATTGCTTTCATAATGGCAGATGGATTGACTGTTTTTCTGTTTGAGATGATTTATGGTTGGGTCATGGCTCAACGGGATCATGTCATTTATAGCCTACGCATCTAATTGTAAGTGGGAAACGAGTACTGGGTCATTTGGTATAATCAAATGCATTCATGTTTGCATGCGTTATACCGTATACTAATAGATAAGGTATTAGATTGTTTCATCTCTGTGAGTGCTGCTAACGCATTAAACTGGTTCTGTTTTGACTGATAAGAATAGAATATCATTTTACATATGTATTTTTACCGGCGAATAATTGATGCTGTTCGATGGAATAATCAATTTATCTACTTATCTAAACTGTAATTATTTTCTATGCAAATCACTGTATTTAACATATTAAATTTCATTTCATTGTAGTTAGTTGGCTACAAGAAATTGTTTAACAAGTATGATTGTTTTTTATAAAACATGAATAATAAGTGTATTCAAACAATTATATGCGTATTATTAATTACAAGCACAGACTGTTACACGTGATTATTAATGACGTTGCATTAATATTATTAATAAAATTTAGTTTATCAATTATAGCACAATATTTACGAAAGTAATTTTGTCTTTCTCTATGGATATGTCCTCTTCTTCTTCGTCTATCTAGGTAATGTTTCCGGTATAGAAATGTAGGTACATACTATAATTATTTCAGGAATTCAAAGGTCACCGTTCAACTGGTATAGTAATAAAAGCATACTCAATTACATAAACACGCAATTAAATTCACGTTTCGTGCGAAGAAGGATATCTTACAAAATGTAACCTTGATTACTGGAAATTGGTATTTTTATTAACGTCACGAAGGTTGATTCTGTGTGGATAATTAAAACTATACTAAATGCATGTAAATATTTTAATTTATGTACGTATTAGGTCTACCGAAAAGTTCAGTTCGTTTTTTAATTAAAATAAAATAATTAATGTTCACTAAATTCGTTAATATTTACTAAACAATATCATTCCCATCGTTATTAACGATTTGTGAATTCCATTTCTGTAGATTCACTAATCTTTGGAAACTGGAGATGACATTTTCGGACAGAACTTTCCGGTAGACCTAATACATACTTTGGAGTTCCAGTAATATGGTAAACTTACTTTTTAAAGCCCATAAAGTGAATTTAGACAATTCCCGATGAAAAATGTCTGCATGCCTTTTGCATTGTGGGCTTACACGACCAGCACCAGGATCGTATGCAGGGAGAATTTGCAGTAATTTCTTTGCATCGTGATCGATTTGTTTTGAGAAGTCATCTGTAAGAAATGTAAATAGTTGATTAGTTTATATCAATTTACATTAAAAAGAAATATTCAGGAAATATAACTGTAATAAGTAATTGGAACTACATCCTAATTCATTCTTTGTGAAGTGTAATAAATACTTAAACTTCTTGTGGTGAGTGAAGATTTAACGGCAAGGTAATAGCAAACAATACTGCGTAACATCCATTGCTAATGTAAACTACACGGTAGTAAAACATGTTGTATTGTTGTTAAAATAGAAAAATATCTTTTACACGTCCATATCCATTACGTACTTGAAATTTTATTACGCTTGAATAAAGCAAACAGTACCCAGTTTATAACACTTGTTTTGTGCTCTCCTTTCATTCATTTAAAACGCAATTATTGTGTGATCCTTCGCGTCGCTTAAATTTTATGGGAATAAACCTATCAATATCACTATTATAAGAATACATTTTACTAATTAAGTTTTTATATAACGTTATTTTGTCACAGACGAAGCATGACATTTATTTATTTCTTTAAAAATCTTAAGACCAATTCATATTCAAAGGTGTTATAAAAGCACGGAATCACAAAATAACATACTTATACATGTATGTACCATACGAATGATGAACAATACAATTCGTGTATTTTATCTTCATCAAAAGTCAATATCAGTTTCTAAGCAAGTTAACTCACAGCAGGACTCCGAATAACGCAACTTGAAAAATGATTGCAAAATAATTATAAAAGCGAGATTCATCATAAGAAAGTGATACAAGCAGAGAAAGAAGTTGGGCTGATATGAAGAAAGGAAATGTAACGTGAGATTCGTAACCGTGAAATTGCTATAACACGGAATTTGAAGAAGTTGAAAACGTAATTCCAGTTAGCTTCTTGTTAAGAATATGCTAACGAGTAATGTAACTTTCAATCCGGTTATCACAAAGGTAAGATTGCAACAAAGCAAGTGAAGAAAGACTTTCACCATCTTTCAATCAGCTCACACGATTTCAGGTGAATCGTAATGAACCGGTCACGTACGTGTCCCGTGTGCAAATTAAGATTTCATCGCCGGAAAAAAAGACATCGTCATCGGTTATCCTGACATTGGCATGTTACTGGACGTGCTGACATAACTTCTCTGTAAATGTGGCCTTCTTCGATCAGTAACCGGCGGTACGTATTTCCGACAACGTCGCGGAAGAAGCTGTGGAATTTTAGAAAAGGTCAAAAAACGGATGATGGTTCGTTCAGGCGGCATCCTCAAAACGTTACTGCTATTCTGAACGTGTGCAGAATATAAAGAATCGTTATTAAGCGTTATTATTACATCTTGTTCGAAATATGAACGTGAAAGGTAACTGTATCGCAGTGACAAGGAGTTTAAAGAACTGTCAAGAATACTAAATTTTTGTGAGAAATTATTATTGTTAAACGCATCAATTCTATATAAAGTAGTTATAGATGCTTTAATATAATATAATCATAAAGATAAAAATAAGTATAATTATTAATACAAATATGGACAACGGAAAACATGTTAATTTAATTGTTTAAATTAATCTTTAGTTTTATATCTCTTTTAATAAGGAACTTCGTATTACTGCGTTAAGACTAAATTCAAGGCTTACTACATAGTATCCTTTCCCTTACGTTTACTTACGAGATAAAAACAACATTTAGTCAACTTCGATTTGAACAAGTTTTTATGAGATAATAGTAAACAAGTTCCCAGTGATACGTATCAGATATTAGGCGTACGTAAAAGTATTAGTTATTTCATAATTTCTTTATAAATATACCCTGTATAAAAGTCATAAAAGAATAACGAATTTTATTCAATGTTTACAAGAATCGTATAAAAAATATTAATCTTATTAGACACTTATATTAACCAATAGTGCTCAATAAACATGTGACTGAAAACTGTCAACATTACATTAAAAGAAAGAACTGATTCATTTTTAGACCGTAGATGTTTAAGCGCATTCGAATTACGAATCGTAATTTACAATGGAGAATCATTTTTACTCAAAAATACTGTAAAAAACACTACACCTTGGAAATTTTCCACAAATGCATACAAATTCGTAGTTTACTTATCACTATCATATTTGCAAGTCGAAAATGCTATTATTTATTTAGGGAAATAATGTACGTAAATAAATCAGTTTGAAAATGCGTTTATTGAACACATAAGGGTTAGTAAGGGTTAAAGGCAAATGCAACTATGTAACGGGATTTCAAAACTATCACGAATTTTTTACTATCAGTTATGGCTATTATAGGAAATTTGATTAAGTCAAAGTGTATGCAATTGTAAATCATCAGTATCAATCACCGATTTATTTATACTAACATATGCCAGGTCTAAATTAACCTTTTTCCGAGAAATACCGCTATACCAGAATTATTCTGCAATGCTAATTGAGTTGTTCTGTTTTAAATAAAGTAAAAAATTCGGATTATCAATGCAACAAGCGAAGATTAATTAAAACTTTGTGGTGCTCGACCTTTGTGATTTTAATGTATGCATGGATTATTTACCAGGATTATTTACAGGATTATTTACAACGTAAATATAATAAAATTGCAAAATAAAAAGATACTTTAGGTGAAGGGGAATTGAAATATTCTAGTTCGTTAACTTTAATGACGCGAATTTATTAGTAGAGGCGTATTAACATGTCACAAAAACAACCTATTAAAGTTAAAAATAAAAGTCCATCCTTTATTATGTAATAGTACATTTCGAGTGAGAATATGGAATTTAAATTTTATACTGGTGCAATGTCAGTATGGCAACCTTTCAAAAACTTAATGTAATAAAGTGAAATGGACTTTTAATTTAATGCATTAAACTTGTATTATATTTATATATATATATCGAATATAATATAATTTGAAGCATAAATATATACGCCTAATGCGCGGTTACTTTTCAATTTAACAATAAAATGGCAATTCATTTTCCATTTAAAAGAGTACGACAATATTATTAATGGTTTATTAATATTAACATCAATTTTGATCATTTAAATTATGCAATAAACTGTGGAATTAAAATATTTACAAATTGTGCAAAGATAATTAAACTTAGTTTTAAGTTTTATAAATTGATAAATGCAGGTTTTACTATTAATACTGCACACACGGAACAAAAATAATAATACAAAATAAATGAATATTTATTTGATTAAATGTCAACCGTCTTCCGTTTTTTCATAATCCCAATACTTGTCTTTTATGTTTATTGCAAACATTACACACGTTTAACATACACGTGACACTATGCTAATATATTCAGTGAAAACCAATGACGTTTTCGTAATAAACCACTACTGTTGCTTCGAAATGTTAATATAACCACAACCGAGGTTGACCCAGTTTTCTTCATTTTTGCCGTAACAAAACTTCGAACAACATTTTATTGCAACAAATGTCACTGAACTAGGATTAGGACCGGATGTACCGCATTCATAACTACCTATAACAAATTATTTTTTTGCCCACCGTTTTATTGAATAAGTAAACTAACCATGCAAATGTTTTGCTGCGATACCATTTGCCAATGAATATTATTTAATTAACTATAACCATTTAAATATTAGGTCACTTAATGTTTTTAGATTATTATCTAATATATAGGATGATACAAAGTTTGCAAGCGTATTTGTGAAAATTTTCATACAATTTTTCATATTATTAATATCTTCTAAATCTATTGTTAGAAATGTGACTCTTCAGCTAATCTAATAATTACGATCAAAACTAGATCTACGGTAATGTACAGTTTGTTCTACGTTCTTAGAAAAATTGATATTCCTTCATTTAGATCTTGAAAATTATAGGTTTAAAATCAGACGATTACTGTACATAATTGCATAACTGCATCAATCAAAATCGACTTAAACATTTACCAAATAACGTTTATAAAATTCAATATGAGTCAAATTGTCTTGTTTTGTAAATCTAGCGTTAATCCTTCAATGAACCAGTCTCGCATTTATCTTCGAGGGGGTTGAACATGCGACTACCATAACATGTGACGATCATCTTATTGGTTGTAGGAACAAGATCACCAATGAAATGTTAGGATACTTTTATAGTCAGTTAACGCCCAGACTGGAATAACCGCCTTCAAGGTAACGGTATATGGTGTAGGAGCTATTTACTGGTTTCTATGAATTAGAAAAAAATCTAAAGCGGCGGTACAAGTCGTTGTAATCATATTATGGGTGCGGATGAACGATACTTCTACACGTGGGTTTACGCTGGTCTTACAAGGTAGATAGTTACGCCAAGGAAGTTAACGTGCGAAGGCTAATGTGAGTAATGCTGTAATACTATTAGTTTGTTCCTCTTGTTCTTCTTTTTATCGTGAACAAAAATTGTTAGGTATATATAGTGGAACATCTTTATTTCAAAATTATCAGAAAGGGTATTGATGACTTATGAAAAATTGTAAACAAGATAAGTTTGTATCATCGTAAAGTAAAAGCTATGAAAAAATTTTCTTTTTAAACTTCCCCTTCTTTTCCATTTTCTGTTATTTAGTAATCCTCGAATTGGGGATATTTGCAATTCCTTAAATACCTTTCTCGCTTTCGATGACTTAATTAAAGTTAACCAAAAAAGGTTATAGTTTTAGTTCTTTTTAAGTGTTAAGTTAACCAATCAAAATGAAAGTGAAAATTAAGTCCGTTGGAGTAATGCACACCACAAACCGTCTGATAGAAAGTGTAAATTTACAATGTGAGATTACGGAAGTTGAATTACCAGTGTCGGAAGTCGATTCTCACGGTGAGATCATAATCGAGAAAATACAGACGTCAAGAATCGTGCGAAGTGTCGTGAAACTATACGGCTTCGAAATTATCATCGCGTATGGTTAATGATGTAAGATACGATTCTGACGGAGAAACGCTTCTCCAAATTCCAGTATGCGAATATTTGTGGTCACTGCCAGCGTGCCGATAATTGTGCAATTGGATAAGGTAAAAATATTTTCAATCGCACGGTAACTACGTTCTTTGATCGCGTGTCAGTCACGAACGATTCGCGTTTATCATTTTAAAACGTGTTGAATGAATCCGTTTCGGTGATCATACATTTCACTAATTGACGAGCGATAATAATACGCTTATCTGTGTACGTGAATGAGCTGTTCGAGAATTAACGTGCTTATCACAATTATTCGATGGTGAATGTTTCCTACATAACTCTCGATATCGGATCATGCGAAATATTTCAGAATGTGCCACAGAAATTAAATAATTTCGGATATCTTACAACGAGATTCAAAAATCAATTTTTTTCGGATATCTTAAAACGTAAATAATATTAGGTCATATAAGTAATGTCATTCTTTTTGTGCTAACTTTCAATGTATAAAATGAATGTTTACGTTTTTTTTTAATTGTCGACGTGTTGACCATCATTAATACACCATGTACGATCTTTTCCTATTTTTCGATTAACGTTTTAATACCATTTTCGAGCAGGTTCTGTGGGTTTCCACTAAAAAATTCAGGAAAAACGACATTACTTGTGAAATAACCTAATATTTCGGTTTACTCCCATTTTTATTAGAATTATACCAATTAAATGTCGATGTGACATAACTTGAATTCCACAGTCCAATGTGTGTTAAATCAGGAATTTTGGTACTGATATTATGATTTCTAAATGTTTCAGTATATTTTGATTGTATCAATTTGTATGAAAATTATACTAAAATGAAATATGCGTAAATTGTTACATATTAATTGAACTTTGTCTTTTTATTACTTGGAAAATCTGTGATGTTATCCTTGTTATTAATCACAATTCAATATGTAGCTTCGATCGCTTCTTATATTAATTTTACAAGGTGATCTTTCAATATTATACCAATTTACTAAGAAAAAATGATTTCATAGTTCTAGCTCATATTTTACGTTAACGAGTTTACCATTACCAACGTTACATATTCGTAACGACCGTAGCTTCCAATTTGTATAAAGAAAGTTAAATGAATTTTGGACGAGTAGTTATAACATTGTTCGAGTAATTATTCACTCTTCTATGTTTCATGTTCTTAGTGCACTTCAAAAAACATTCATTGCATTTAAAAAATACATTTTATGCATGAAGACTATCATGTAATTAAAGTTCTATACTTTATATTCTAGTTTTCTTCAAAATGCTGATTTATATAACCTGAATATATTAACTATTACTTACAAAATTGTAATGAGCTAACTAATACAATGTTCATGATTTTTATTATTTTATTATCAAAATGTAATTAAAAAACCAATTCATTAACGATACTGGGTATAACGTTAAAAATATTACACTCGAAAATCTTACAAATTAAAAAACATGTCAAAGTTCTGTTTTTCTAGAAATGCAATAACCATAGAAACTTTCCACAAAACGAATCAACAAAAAGTAGAAAAATTGTAATTTCTAATTGAACATTTTCTGCGATATTGTAAAATATAGTTAACATAGTTGCAGTTATCGCTTGCTTTCATTACTGCGCACGAATCATAAAAATCTAAAGGTAATTACATTTCTACATGGCATCTTTTTTCTAGAAGTGTTTAATTTATTACGTAAATAATAGCAACAATGCTGATTCACTTATTTCCAGATATTCTGCATGCGAAATCTAGTCTAATCTAATCAAATCATTTGCAGAAGGATAATTATCGCATACCACATGCAAGAACTAACATTTTCGTCACTTCAATTTCGTCACCGATCTAAATACATTCTCAAAGCGTTTTCACGAATATAAATCATGAATTTATACGGCCATTAAACCTCACGCGCTACGTGAAAACTGTGCACAGGAACGTGTCCCCTCATCTTTATCGACGTCGTAGAAACAAACTCCCTTTTTCTCCCAGTTAACACTTAAGAAATAGCGTCACTGTTTCACGGGCAATGGGATCGTAGTATACAAGTCAAGTGGATTGCACACACGAAAATCCAATAGAAACGTTAGTGTCGAAATTGTAGAAAGTAATGGCGTCTCGAATTGCAATCAAGATCATTAGCATCAGGTTTTTCATTCCAAAACGGATGAACGGTTCCCCTATATTGAATAGCGCAATTCTTTTTTTCGTCGCATTTCACTCGGTCTCTGTGTAATTCACAAATCGTGGCGGCGACTACGTCGAACACGTGGCCCCCGTGAGTAACGAAATCGCATGTGGTATGCAGACACAGTACATGGATAAAAATCAGACTTGAGTAGTGACTACTATTTCGACACGTCGAAAGTAGTTTTGCCTTTTTCCAACGTTCAGTCATTCTACACTCGTTTGACCTGGTGCAGTACACTGACCGTAACTTCATTGTCACAGCGTTAAAACATTCTGTCGAACCCATACCGCATGCCGATCCGGTTTTTAAGTAGTTCAATTAGCGCTAAAACTACCGAACAGTCAAATTGATTTGTTGAAATTTTCCTACAGAAAATTCGAGAGCGCGCCTATTCAGTCTTCTATTAATTTATAATTGAGTTTGTGCATTTCTGAATCAACATATTCAGTTATTTTTCGGAGTATCGTCTGATATCTTCTCGACAATCGTGAAAAGGAGACATCAGGAATGGGTCATTTCGACTTGTCTGATAGTTCTAGTCATAATACGATTTGACACGCGTTCAATGAGATTCGGATTTCTTTGGGCAAATAAATAATTATTGATTTACTCATTACACATATAATTACTCATTTTATTGGTTAATAATTTCATCGGAGTGGAAGGAGAATAATAGTTTGTTGAATTTTATTAGGTTTTTAATTTGAAATGTTGAATATTTTTAGAAGTTATAAGTGTCTTACGATCCACTTGGGACGTATTATATTTGATTGATGTTTTAATATTGAATTTTGATAAAAATGTAATAACAACGGAAAGATTTCTAGCATCAGGTAAAAAAAGGCAATAATACTTTCTGTGCCTATTCTGTGCCTTTGAATGTATTTAATCGAAAATTGTAGATCAATTGAAGTATTAGCAAATATACAAGAACGAAAATTAATTATTCTGTCCTGCACTTTCTAATAGAACATTTGTTATGATGAGATTATTACCATGTAGAGCTGTACAATTATTCTGTACTACTTCTATTTATGTGGCTATATTTATTTTTTATTTTGTTTGATTTATTTTTATTATGTACAAGCTATTGTAATTAGTTTTCATTTTTACATCGTAATACTGTGTTTCATCCATAATAGAAAATAAAATATAACGCTATCAGCACAATCTTAAAAATCATGTTTACTGTAATAAATTGAAAAAAAGTGAAATGATATAACGATTGTCAAAAGTAAACAATATTACGAAATGTCATGGTTTTAGATATTGTAAATATTGTTGCATGTATAACTATCTCGTTCAACGTAAATGTAATAAATATAATAAAAGTCACGAATCACGAGAAACCATAAAAAGAAAATTGATTACAATACTTAGTCCATAAGTGATTGATCTTTGACCTATCAAATCGATACCATTTATGATATAATTAATATCAATCAGTGTCATTTAAAAAGAACATTTATTACTTTAAAAAATAGATGTTAAGCAAGTATACTGTTATCTCATTTGTTTTTACCTTCATTTATACATATTGAATAATTAATATATACTTACGCGAGCAGAGTGTATATACTTAATGAAACAAAGTAATTAAAAAATAGATACGAAGCGAATATATTTACAGAATCCACATGCATAATATATTAAAATTATAGAAATACATGAAACAATTTCTTCCAGGTATAAAAACGTGGTACAAAAAACGGTTATACACTTTTTGTCACGAATGTTACGTGTGCTCTAAATCGAAGCAGAATACATTAAAAGAAGTTTCCTCAAACAATAAAATTGATTAAACTCGAACATTCGAAAGTTACACGTGCAACGTTAACGCACAAATTAAACAACAATCAACCCGTGAACACTGCTCACGCCAGAAATGCTTCTTTTCGATCGGTAATCACCGATCAACCGATTCACCTAAAACCACTCTAATGTACATTCCAATATTAACCACTCACTTAAAAACATGAACATTTCTTTACTTTCCCGTTGTAATCGCGGAGTAAATTAAAGCCATAATTGATCACCAATTAATTGCGTATTCATAACACTAGAACAACCTCACCCGTCAAAATTCTGACTTCAGTTTTCTTAATTTACTACCGATATCTGAAAAGCGTTAAATATCCAAAACGACTTGAAAAATAAATACTTTCACTTCAATACTATACCCAACATACAAAGAAACTGAAAGAAAGTCTATTGTCACAATTTTCATACCAGCGTCATATTTGTGACAGGCGTAATCTTATATTTTACATACAGCAAATGAAATTATATATAAAGTTATTAACTACGGCGTTATATTAAAGAACTCAATAACTTGTTCCAATTTCATTTCTTCGATATTTCGTTTAGAAGATTTATTGGATTGAATAAAATATTACAATTGAGGAGGTCTTCACTGAAATAAACGCTGGTAGCAAACGTGTTAAACGCTCGATTGTTCTACCGTTAATTATCGACTCGAACGATCTTCCGATCATTCTCGAACACAACGAAACTTACCGTAAAACGGATTAGTGTTCTGAACTTCGAGCTGCAGCGGCTTCCATGCATATTCACCCGCCTCGACCGTGTGATTCCTCAGGCTACCGATCAGCTGTATCAACGAGTAATTGGTCGATAAAGTGGTCTGATTGCGGGAGAGTACACGGAGAATTTCTTCCTCTTCCAAAGTGTTCAATCCGTTGGAAGCCAGAAGGTCCACCGATTGTCCGGCATGCGACAGTCTCATCAACAGAAAGATCGTCCACAACCTGAGGCTGGGTCCCATCTTTGTCGCAGGATTATCGAATTCAAAGATCGTCTGGTGAGTTCGTTTCTTTCTCGAATGAATCGTCGTTATCCGAGTTTACCACGACTGTCGATCACGGTGATTGCTCGGGACATTCGGGATCGATCGCGATTGCTACGTTAAAATCGGCCCTCGACGGTCACGCAATGAACCTCGCGAACGATATCCGGCACGGTCCCCAACGAACTGAGAATCTGGTCTCTTTCATGCGAGGCTAAAGTGATGACAGTCGGAACAGATTTTCTAAAACGGTGGCCACCGGACTCTTCACGGACTCTGTATTGCCCGATCATTCAAAGGCGAGCTTTATGAGTGATCGTGAAACGACGGAGTCACCTGTGGCGGCACGCACAGGGCGAAAAGAGGGGTGGACACCGCGCTCATCTCCCACTCTGGCACTCCGCGAAGGACCTTGTTAGCAATGCTAAATTCTTCGGAACGCTACCGTTTTTTTATAGTTTTCGTTAGGTACAGGTTTTTCTGTGGTTCATAGATCAACGCTTTTTCTCATCCGAGACGCGGATGGTTTTTACGGTAACACAGTAACCTGCGAACCTTCCCGTCACTTTCACACAAAAAGGTGTCACCGATCGGCTGAAGAAGATACATTAAATGATGGTTTTACGGAATATCCTTCGAAACTGATATTCATTGCGACGATTGTAACTTTGCGACCCCCTACACGGTCACAGCGAGACAAGGTCATAAACCGAACGCAACAGGTGTTGTGAAAGTTGTTTCATTCTTTGAACTAATAAATATCATTATCCTTATTTTTAACTTAAATTCGAGCTGGGAAGGATCGAATCATGTTTCTTCTATTCCTCCGTTGTTTCAGGTATTTTGTTAATTAATAATGTCGATTATTACGTGACGCATAGATTTTTGAGTATTTTACAAAATACCTTGGACTTTGTTTTGAAATTTCAGCAATATTGGTTAACTTTTTTTATGTGGAATATCTTGATATGGCTGTATGATATTCGGATAATGAAAATGGGCATTTTGAAACGAAGTGGAGGGAATTATGTTTAGAAAAAATGAAAAATATATATTTATATCAATTTTGGAAACTGATTTGCGAATATGAGATAATTTAACGAATAAATCTATTCTTTGTATTCAAAAAAATGAAAGAATATCAAGTCTCATTAAAGTTTTCAAAGATAATTATGAGTTTGATATCTCTTTTAATAAACAAATTTACTGTGTATCCATATGCAAAATACAAAATCTAAAATACATATAAATTTGATGTTTAATTTTATTAGCTAGTATACTGTTAATGAAGTTCTAATACATACATTTATGCTTTGAAATATTTTGTACAACAATTATTGAAATTAATTTAATTGAATTATTTTAATTTCAATATAATACAAGAAATGAATAAAGTTTCTAATTATTTTTTTACGCGCGTAAATGAAAGGAATAATGAATTACTTAAAGGGAATTATAATTACACTAAATATTATAATTTTTCTTAAGGAGAAATGGAAAAGTAGATAGTTTTATACATGTAGTAAATAAGAACTTGTATCTGTGTCTATTTTAAAATCTGTGAACTTCAAAAGGGCGAATTACAACAAGCGCTTCCATGCATACAATACGCTTAAAAGCTGTGGAAATACTGACTAAGGTCAATATCCTACACATTTAAATTGCTAGAGTTCCATGATACACTCCAGTAATATAAATTCCGTACTTTTTTAGGTATTCCGGCAGAAATTTAACTCTAACATAGCGGTAATAGAATAGTGCACGTAAATTGTAAATTTTCATTAAAAGACATTTTTCAATGTTAGTATTTAATTCTAACGTATGTTTATGAGATTGCTTTTTAATTTTCAATGTGGCTTTCATGTTCTCATCATAGTTAACATTCTAACAAAATGTAATATTTATAACACGAATTATATAATACGATAATAATATAATAATATCTTATGCTACCATATAGTCGCATTATGGTTTTAGAAACTATATTAAAATATTTGATTTGGGCACGTCATATTTTTCATTTTTTGAAAAACTTTTTCTGCTATTTATTGAATTCTATATCCGTGAGACGACTACAAACATAGCAGCTGCCATCAATGAGCCATTGATCTTCTCAGGTTACATGTTACTTTCCTCAACGAAAGTTAAATAAAAAACAAGTTTATACTTGGTATCAGTAATTTGAATGAAATTGAATATAATATAAGTAGTTAATACAAAGTAAAAAGAGATTTTCTCTATTTTAATAAAAAGATAAAACAAACGTAATATTTGCAATAATGCATAACAAATATGTTAAATTATGAGATCTGGAAGCAATGAGTTACACTGATAGTTCATAAATACAAAGATTTATATAAAATATAAACGAGTACACGTGGACGCATGTACAACTAACGAGACTGAGAAGAAGATCTAGTAACAAAAGAACAGGTACTGGGTATATATCAGTTGCAATTGCAGACGTGTATCTGAGAGAATATCTAAAAGAAAGAAATAGAATGTAAAATATTAACCAGTTAACTGAGGTGACTTTCTGAAAAGTGTGCATCTAAATTATTTCTCTGAATAATTTAAACATCTTGAAATTTAAGAATATATTTTGCTATTCACTAAAATTGCGATTTAAATAGCAACTACTTTTTTCGCATGACGAATATATGTATTCGTAGTAATACAAAATATTGTCATTTCTTAACTCTAATCGGACCACAATGTGACTTTGAGTCACATTTGAACCTTTTACTTGAATTTTTTGATTATTTCATATTGCATTTCCAAAAGTTTTTTTGGGGCTTTTAAAATTTGGGTCCTATAGACAAAAACAAGAACATTTTAATCCTTTTATTCTCATAAGTGACTGAGAGTCACATCGTGGTACGATTAGGGTTAATGAGTTCACTTGTCGATCACAGCTAACTGGTTCATAATCAGTAGTTGGCATATATGAATTTATATCAAGTAAATATATGTACGTTGATAAAATATAAAAACGATAAAGCGGTAATTCCAGCGAATGCATAAAAATAGTTGCAGTACCGCATATTTCATTCAGTCTTCTTCATTCGTAATAGAACCTTCGACTACAGTAAGTATCATCTAATGACGAAGTTACTACAATGTTTCTTTCTGCTTTAGTTACTATATGGTCAATTAAAAGTAATGGATAGATGCTTCAACAGGAAATCGATAAGGTTCCATCTAACTAGTAGGTGTACAAAACCTTTAATTACATTTATTAACATATTTGGTGCTACGTCATTCATGTATGAATGTATCCTTCGAGTTATAAAACATAATATGTATAACATACGGATTGTCCTATTTTATTCTAAAGATGCAATTATCTCTGACATTATTGGTTATTTAAGAAATTCTTCAAATGCAGTTTTTCTGTTTTGATGTGTCCTTGTCGTACACCCTTCATGTATGAGGATTCGTTTCACGCGAATGAAAATTGCGTAAGTAGAGTCCCTCAGCATAAAAGGAAACAAGATATTGAAAAAAGAAGCTGGTATAGGTTTAGAAATACATATTTATTTAAATAACGAATAATTCCGGACATAACTGCATTCTTAGATTATAATGGACGCCCCGTATACGAAGAATTCACCGTACTATATTTTGTGTAAAATTTTCTTCTCTCGCAATGCGTTGATACATATTTCTGTTAATAAATCAACTTTTTTGTACACTTGAAAATCATATAATTGATTACCCTATAATTATTACAAAGAATAAGGCGACAGTCAATTATGTAAATTTGTTAGGAATTCTTATTGCATTTAATTACTTCCGTCATCCGGTAAACAAATCATATATTTACAGCGGAGAATCAAACAGTACCAGACGGAAACAGTTCTCATTCTTACCATTAGCTGTCTACATGATAGATAGAGAAACAAATAAATGATATCGTCCTTAGCAATATATTCCGGTGTCATTACTTCTTCTTAAAAATAATGGAGACATTAGCCTTTTGTACTCGAAAGTTTCTTGTTAGAAGTATTCAACATTGTTTGACAAAATATAGAAGATGTTTGTTAATACTAATCCAATAACAGTTCACATATAAATTAAGGAACAAAATTATTTTACTTCAATATTTCACATAATGTTGCTTTATACAAAGTTCAATATTAAACTTTATAATATTAATGTATCAAACCAAATGGTGATTGAGAGTTACACCTCGACTAGAAAGGGTTAAGCACCGGAAAAAGGTCGTACAGTTTTTTTGTTAGCAATGAATTCAGTTCCGATTTCAATTAGTATTTTCCTAGTTTAATCAAATAAGATAATATTATTTTACAAAAACTTTGTCCGTGCTTAAATTTTGATTTAAAAACCGGCACGAACTTTTTCCAGTACCTAATATAAGAACCATAATGTTCATGCGTCAGAAGTTATTTTTCATAGCGGATTTTTAATTTTAATTTCTAAACCATGCAGTACATATATTTAGTCTTTCTCTGCGTGTTTGTCGTGTAACTTCCGACACGTTGCATAGTCTTTTCGGGCTGGACAAAATATAAACAAATTCTTTTGATAATTAAAGTTTTTGTTAGAAATATACATCGATGTGTTTAATAATTTGCATTTTATTATTTTCGTTTTGGGAACGATTCTGTTGTTGTGTTGCATTCATATTTCACATGTCTGTAACTTATCAATTTTTTACCGTACGTACTGTAGAATAGATAGACAGATAGTCATAAAAAATATATAGAACGTGTAGAAAAGTATTAGTAAAATGGTACGTATTTAAATATTAATCAATTTCACACATGCACACTCCTCGAAATTGATAAAACGTTATTTGTTTAGCGGTTTTTTTGTTTTCCTGTTTATTATAAGAGGATGAGTACATGTATAGAGTCCGTGAACACCTTGATTGATAGAACAGCGTAAATGTTACACTTTTGTATCGAAGCCAACTATAAAACCGAAATTTGTGATGAGTGCGTAATCTTAGTTTCGCGCACGTGGGATTGCAGTAGAGAGTGGGTCGTGGCCCGACAATGTGAAACAACGCGTTGCATTTTTCAGTAATTATTGCGACACATTGTATTCGTGCTTGTTATGAATTACGTCTTTAGTTTTGTCTTATGCTTAACGTACAATTCAGTGAATGAATCCATTGACGATTCGTCTGTAATGGAAACTTACTCCTTCTTTACAATTTTTAATTTAATCTCGACATAAACAACATAGATTGTGGCAAGTGATTTATGCTTTTGAAGTTTTTTAATGCGTAACACATTACTAATGATATTTCAACTACTAATCCAAC